AAGCTACCATTCAAATTATGTTAAACAAAATATTAAAAACACTTCTATGTAATGATCTTTGAAACTGACATCTTAACAAGAATTAGGAAATGTTTAATTTGGGAATCGTTGCTAACACTTCCTTTATTCCTGGGTTATCTATTGTCGTATAAATGATACAAAGATAATTCGGATATGTGTCTATAATCCCTCCCCAAAAACGAAATGATAAACATATAAATGATCCACAGATCCGGTACAGATTGGCATGTAATACACGTGATCTTTCACTTCACATTTTAAACATAACATACACGAAACTCCCAGATTCACTCGATACGAGTATCGCATCACACAATTGCACAAGAAGAGCTACGCTGAGACAACACACCTTTGCCCAACATACCGTCTGCGGACAAACTTATTTTTAGCCCAAGGATGCACCGCCTGAGTACTCACTCGGTTCTGCCTCGTCAGTGAAAATTACACACCACTCATATCATACAAGTAGATATAATCAAGTCATCAGCTCGTCCAGAGAAACAGCTGACCTTCGCCCATCACTTCGATACACGTATATCAACTTACCTGTTCAACATCGACTGAACGTCAAAGCTTCGAGTGGCCTTTCGCGAGCTGCACCGGTAGGGTACACGCAGACGATATGGGGTCATGTGACCAAATGATTCACGGGATGTTGTCGTCTGCTCGTGGAATGTCAAAGACAAAAGCCAGAATTAATCGTCCTATCTTATAACAAGAACTTGCCTGGGTCAACCCCCGCAATATGTCGGGTCTGTGCTTATTGGGTGGGGTCAAACTGGGTCAATATTTCATTTCGCCACGGACGAACCCTGATATAAGACTTTATACCCATCCTCTCTATATCGCGAATTCTTAGTTTTTCGACAGTCCCCCTCAAGGCAAGCTATTGCTGTCCGAGGTGATGAATCTATTTTCCCACAGCAAATATCCGTGTCATTTTTACATGAAATTAAGACAAACCCGTGATGATCCAGGTTAGAATTCGTCTGTATTGCAACTGATGCTTGTCGACTGAGGCGATTACGGAAATGGTTATTTATTTTATTGTGGGGGTGGGGTGTGTAGGATTATTAGTTTACATCATAATTTCCTGATTATATAAATAACAAGAGGTCCTCATTAAATACTGGTGTCCTTACTGTCCGCATATCTAGACTTGCCTATTATAAGGATAGCATTATTACTCATTCATGGACTTAGCTTTCAGTTTTTGTTTGTTTGTTTGTGGTTTAACGCCGCACTCAGCAATATCCCGGCTATATGACGTCGGTATGTAAATAATCCATTCTGGACCTGAAAAACCAGTGATTGATGTCATGAGCATCGATCTACGCAATTGTGATACGATAACATGCGTCAACCAAGTCAGCGAGCCTGACCGCCCAATTCCGTTAGTCGCCTCTTACGACAAGCATAGTCGCCTCTTACAACAAGCATGGGTTGCAGAAGGCCTGTTCAAACCCCGGTCTTCACGGGTATATCTTTCAGTACAACCTTGGAGTAAATTTAGGAAGCTCTTGACAACACGTTTATAAAACATGTTACTAGTAGGTACTGTTTAAAACAATTTCACATTTATGGCAAAATTAAGCAAGCTCATTTTACAAAGGTGTCAAAGAGTGTCATGTGACTATTGCTCAAACGTGTCTTCCTCAGTTACAACATTCAAGTCCTCAGTTAAGCTTTCAAAAAGTTTTATGTTAGACATGTAGGACATTACAAATGTGACGCGTAAGTGACAAACATGCTGTCCTATGAATTCCCCATTTTGACTCCGGTCGTATTCCATATGTCCCCGTTTTCTTTCAGGTGAACAGTTAACTTGCCTTTTCATGTGTCTGTGACAGATGCGACCGGTGGAGCAGGATACGCTCACCTTTTTACGAACACCTGGTATAATCATGTTTTATAGTGGTTCAAAAACACATGGTTATCATATAATCGGAATCGAACTATGGACTTATATTTCTTATGATTATGGAAAGGGTTGCATCGAGTAAGTGTTTATCTGTCACGTGAAGTGTTGAATATGTTTGTTGTTTTCCAGCTATATGACGGCGGGCTGTAAATAATCGAGTCTGGGCCAGACAATGACGTCATTGGCGTCATGAGCATCGATCTACGAAACTAGAAAACGATGACATGCATCAACCAAGACCACCCGATCCCGTTGGTCGCCTCTTAGGACATACATGTGTTGCTAAAGACCAACTGTAATCCGGATCTTCATGGGGCCCAATTCTGAATACTAGTACATATTTACATGAAATACATTATATGACATTAACGCATAAATAATGGTTAAGGCGGATGTTACGTTGTATAACACACCAACTGGTTGCGCCTGAAGCCAGACATACCTATATGCTGCATAACGTCTAGGATGTAATTTGTAACCCTACATGACAGTATGACAAGAAACCAGTATGACTCAGTATGACTACATGATGTCCGGTATGTGTCAAACAGCGGTCATATGGGAGTATGTCTTGATAACGAGGGCGTTACGAGATTGCCACGTGATAAATGGTGATATTGAAGGTATCACGCAACGTATCACGTCACTATCCCCACCCACAACCACCTGGACCCATCACTGATACTGCTCTTCGTCGCTGACTGGCAAATTCGGGTTAAACGCCGATACAAGCATATAATAGTTTTGGTTTAACGCTTTGAAATGTATTGCAGCCATGTCACGTTACGTCAGAAGCGCGGGTCGTGGACATTTACCACTTTGGTGAAATCCACGAATGCGGTCTGTCAGGCCAAGGCTTCGTGCGGCGTTAAACAACAAACAAACAAAACAGATCAAGGTTCACAACTGGGGTATGCGTTGAATTAAGGGTCAAATTGCAACGTTTTTTGCAAATAATATGAGACCATAATCTCTTTAACCCAACCAACAGTATTATCTCATGTTGACTTGAGTTTATTCCTCCTAAGCGTAATAAGAACACAGTTGGTGTGTATAGTTTTTAGATTGGCATCAATCAAGCAATCAACCACCCACGGTGGCACAGGAGCTTGCACTAATCATTACATATATACAGATATGTAAAGCAAGATGCGGTTAGTATTCACGTACGAATTCACGGCTGGCTGGTTGGTTTGTTGTTTGTTTGTTGTTTAACGCCGTACTCGGCAATATTCCAGCGGTCTGTAAATAACCGAGTCTGGACCAGACAATCCAGTGATTAATATCATTAGCATCGATCCGCGCAATTGGGATCGATGACATGCATCAACCAAGTCAGCGAGCCTGACCTCCCGATCCCTTTAGTCGCCTCTTACGACAAGCATAGTCGCCTTTTAGTTGCTGAAGACCTATTCTACCCCGGATCTTCACGGGTCATGAATGCTATCAATGACAGACATTAAGACGACATTTCAGCCTGTTTACATTTCAAGTTTAGTATTTGGATGGAACAAATGACAATCTTTCTTGTAAAAGGCTTGACAACGAAATAAATAGTGAAATCCATCAGCAATAGAGGGTGAGTTATCACAGCTTCTTTTGAGTCGGTTTTGATGACAATAGACGTCAAATTATAACAAAGACGTGATGATGTGCGAAAGAAAGTGGTTGAAGCTAGTAATAGGTGGGATGAAATTGGTTTATGAAACATACACCCACTTATCTCCCGCCCACACCTTCCCCCTCTATGACTCACCTCACTCACCCACCGGACCACGTGGCACGAGAGTCACCTGACCTAAGGCCGAGGTTTTCTTACGTGACAATCTGCAGGGAAGTCGTTCTTATCAATTGCAAACATACATACAGGGAAAACAAATCTTCTATCTCGCTTCCTAATATCATATCATGTCTAGAAACGTGTTCTTGGTATAATTTTGAAACAGTGTCTATTGTTCATTTAATTTTTCTCTGTTACGGGAGTTCAAGAAATGATTAGGAGTATATTTAGGAAGCATTCATTTGATGTGTATAGTTGGGGTGGGGTGTGAACAATAAAGTTTGTTCCCAGATGTATCAAACAAACTATATATACGCTGAACAACATCAAACAATCATTTCACTATTAACACACAAAGGTGTTAACGTTCGTACGGGTATTTTCAACAAAACAAAACATATATCTTTTTCACCATTGCCAACTAACTATTCATTTTGGGCATATGTCTGTCCAACTATTCATTTATAAAATCTCTAGAGATCTTCTGTTTTTTGGAATCAAAATAATATTTGTCAAATGATTTCAAATATTCTCTTTCGTGTAATTTATACAGAAAGGCCTTGTTAAATCCTGGTACCTTACATTAAATTATAGGTCCTCATCCGAGTTACCATGCAGAAGTTTGTCGACACAATGGAGTTCGAGTTCCCGTGTTCTGATGAAACATATTCACTAACAAGCATGGGAGACCAAGTAGTCTAGGCGCCGGAGCTTGACCGTCATGAGTTCGAATCCAATACTCGTCCCGATTAGGATCCCTAATCTATCGGCACCACGTCCATGGGTTGCATGAAATAGATACACGTCTTGGATCTGTATTACATTGGGCTTTCCTCTCACATAAAGCTGACATTAGTGAAATACTGACCGGATGCAATCACACACACACTAGCACAAAACGATCAGCCCTACAGTGCGCGACTGTTTAGCAGCATAATATTGTTTAGTTCTTTAGTTACTCGCTCACCAATGGCAAAATAGTACCGTTTAGTTCTTGCTATGTTACTCGCTCACCCATGGCGAAATAGTACCGTTTAGTTCTTGCTCTGATGTCACTCACTCACTCAAGGCGAAATAGTACCGTTTAGTTCTTGCTGTGATGCTTCTCGCTTACCCTAGGCGAAATAGTACCGTTTAGTTCTTGCTGTGATGTTACTCGCTTACCCAAGGCGAAATAGTAACTGTTTAGTTATTGCTGTGATGTAACTCGCACACCCAAGGCGAAATAAATATGTCAAAGTGCGTCCTTCAAGCAAACGTAAGATGGCTGACACTCACCTTGATTCTCCAGCGGCGTGACTGTTGCCCTCAGTCCCGGGGAATGTAGAGCGAGGGGAGAAATCGGGTGCTAGGTAGAGTGACTTACTTACGGTTACCCCAATGAAAACAGCCAGTAAATCACATTCCACAACCCCACCCCAAACCAGATAAGATAGACCAGGAGGGGCTCCTGACCCGATTATTCCTCAAGCTTCAAACGTAGGTTGTTCTTAGTTACAGTGGCATGTACAGCACGCAGTGGTTGACACGGATGTGCTTTTATTCACTTTACTGAAGCATATTTAATTTCAACACAACAAAGGGATACAAATAACATAGGCACACTGCTGCGTAGGGTTGAACGATTACTGCACTTATATATACATATATATGTTTTGACCTGCATGCATGTGTCTGTGGCTACTTGCGCCAGTCCGGACTTTTTGGTAAAACGCGACCAGGGGTTTGAGCCATCGACCTCACGCTCACGGGGCAGACGTACATTTCTCTCCACTAGACAACGGAGGTGTCGTATTGTATGTAAACAATGGCTACCCAGAGACAATGAAGTCGTTTTACAGATTAGGTTTCCAGGTTCAGTTACTGACAAATCAGTCCGCATAAATGGGTTTTCGGGCAGTATGGTTTCCGTAATCACCTGTGGCATTCGTTACCACTCATTCCTTGCCGTAAAATACCGGAATGACACGAATGGTCACGAAGCACGAGTGTCACGAGTGGTCACTAACCCTAGGGATTAGGAACCCTACTATTCGCCACTTTTCCGCAACCTTCATTTTCGGGTTGTCCCGTAAGTGTCCGGACGTATGAACTTATCTTTTTTTTTTCGCCATTCGTGTGTTCCGAAAGCAAAAAAACCCACAAAAAACCATGGAAATCAGTTTTGTATTTTAGTTGTTTTAAAGTACTGTCCAATATTACGTTGTATTAACCGTGCATTTGTCAATTGTCCATTTACATTCATAGTGTGGGATCATTGTCTCTGGGTAGCTATTGTTTACATACAATACGACCCCTTATGTCTTGACGTGTGGTGTCGTGTGTTGTGTTGTGTTGTCCATCGTGCATACATCTGTACATTCTTCTCTAACACCACTGTAACCATTGTGCTGAAACTTGGCAGTGTTGTTAATTGCCTTTCGCCTCTCTTCTAATTGACCTTGTGTTGATTTCGGGGAAGATTATGTCAATAAGATTAGGCAATGCGCTGGTGGAGGATCGTTGCTTTCAGCAAATTGTTTGCCGACTCGATTATGTACGGTAATTAAAAAAGCTGGAATATTGATTATTGCGTCGTTAAACAATGTACTAATATCATCAAAATCAGATCGCATGGCTCGCTACCGCTACACAAAGATCTGAGGTCAGCCCATTACAGGTCACGTCAACGACATTTTGCCATCTTTGGCAATTATCAACATTGGCCCATCAGGAAGAAGAGACAGACGGTGATTTTTACGGAATCAGTTGTCGTTCGGAATGCCCTGTGTTAACCTTTTCGAGGATCCGTGATTAGAAACCACATTCGAACTTTCATTTCGCTCTTATTGACGTCAGAAGCTAGCACTAAGATCTGACGGTTGGATTTCTTCATATACCCAACCTGGAAACACATACAGCTTGTTATAATGTAGTATAAAGTATAAGGAAACTGGCTGTACAGAGTTGTGTCCCTTAGCTAGCCAAATCCACTGGTCGTTGGTTCGAGCCTGGGGGTGCCTCCAATGATGCCCCTCGGTTACTATTACGGCAACACGTGCTCACAAAACGGGACACCTGTATCACTTTCCTTTATGAGGAGAAATAGTCCTGCTGCCCTAGCCTTTGCTGTCTACATTTCACAACTTTTGAAGTACAATCGATCTTGCCATACGACACTTTCTCAAAAGTTGTTTGATCTGAGTATACAGGTCCTTAGTAAAGCTTTAAATTTTTTTTATAGTAGATAGGGGGAGAGCATTCCATGGATTAACTTGTACCACATATTCCCGTGTTGTTTAGGTGAACACTTGTCTTGCCTTTCTATGCGTTTGTGACGGGTACCAACGGTGGGGCAGGACACGCTCGCCTTTTTGCGAACAACTGGTATCTTCACTATTTGATAGCACTTCTATAACACACGTTAAATGATATGGTCGGAATCTTGCATTCTTCTCATGTATAAACTGCTGATTCCTGAAACATCAACATTGTTATGAAAACCAGACTTTATAAACCCTCCCACGCACGCACAAATCTATATTCCAACGTCCGTGACCCGTGAAGATCCGGGTGGAGAATAGTTCTTCAGCAACCTTTGCTTATCGTAATAGACTATAAGAGGCAACTGACGGGATCGGGTGGTCAGGCTCGCTGACTTGGTTGACGCATGTCATCGATCCCAATTGCACGGATCGATGCTCATGGTGCATGTCATCGAATCCTAATTGCGTAGATCGATGCTCATGAAGACAGTCACAGGATTGTCTGGTCCAGACTAAATTATTTGCAGACCGCCGTCATATAGCTGGAATATTGCTGAGTGCGGCGTTAAACAGCAAACAAACAAACAGACAAACAAATCCAGCATCATATCTGATGCTACATGTATGGGCATGCGAATCTGATGTTGTATATGTATTGACATGCGTATCTGATGTTACATGTGCGGACAAAGTTATCGGAAATTACATGTATGGACATACGTATCTGATGTTACATGTGTGGACAAAGTTATCGGAAATTACATGTATGGACATACGTATCTCTGTTACATGTGCGGACAAAGTTATCGGAAATTACATGTATGGACATACGTATCTGATGTTACATGTGTGGACAAAGTTATCGGAAATTACATGTATGGACATACGTATCTCTGTTACATGTGCGGACAAAGTTATCATAAATTACATGTATGGACATACGTATCTGATGTTACATGTGCGGACATACGTATCTTATGATGTAAGATAATGTCTGTAAGATAGCTATGCGATAAATCGCAAAGATCAATGAAGAACGAAACGTGTTTTATTTCACGGTAAAACATTTCTCGAGATTCTAATATGAGGTCGCAACTTGGACGACTTGGAGCGTGGAGAGTGGAGTGTCTGGTGAGTTGTTCCCCACAGATATAGCTGGGCAACGCAGATAAACGCGATGGCCGATCGATCGCATCCAAAAGCGGGAGAGATATAAATATTGGGAGAAAAGATACAGGTAATCGAAGTGAGGATTGTGAGAATATGCGGGAAATACCCACCAGTGCATAAAGTGGACTTGTCTGACATTGCAGAGGGCGGATTCTATTGAGGGTCATTATTTAAATATCGGTAAAGTATTTTTAAAGCTTGTACAATTTATAATCGTCCTTTAAGAGGCTATGTATAATGTTAATATCTCATATCAGAAATAAACGACTCGTGGTCGTCGTTTATCGTACAATGCAGTGTTTTTATTGTAAGATAAACAACGACCACGTGTCGTTTATTTCTTAGTTAAATCACGGACTTGTTATATAGGTCCGTGGTTAAATGTATGGACATATGTATCTCATGTTACATATATAGATGATAACTGGTAACCAGATATACTGCAAAAACCCTAACTGAATACTTGGAGAGAAAACCACGGAAAGGAATAGCTGAACGGCAGGTGTGAATAAAACCCTCCATTTTGAACGGATTACACCAAAAAAAGAACCATACACGTGCGCACGTTAAGAGAATATTTTTTCCGTTTTAGTATAAAAATGGCAGAATATACCAACTAAAATGTGCACACTAAATGCATAGATGTACCACCACACCGAATCTGTACACATGCGACTGGCAATACCTATAATTTCTATGTTGTTTAATGCGATCAATTCAACAATGCTGTTGTTTTGATAATATTACAGTCAATTTACACTTTTGAACAATATTCTTTATTTAGATAGTTTCTATTATGTTCACTGCATTGATTTAACTAATTCTTTTATCTTGATTATTCTAGACGTTGAAAGGAGGGACACCGAAAGTCTGCAACTCTGTTACCCTGTTTGACAGATTGGGCTCACAGCATTGGACAAAACCCTCCTTTTCAAAATACCTGTTTGGACGCATTACACTCTTGAGTAATTGCTTTATATATATTTTTGGTACATAATACAATCGAACTCATCAATCTGCGTTCTTGAGAGTGTAGTTATCATGTCTCTGCTTGAGTACGGATATCTTGAGGGTCTGGATAAGCGGCGGGGTCCCACTGTGTCGACTCTCCAAACAGTAGGGGGTCAGAAGAAAGATTATCTTGAGAAATGAGCGAGTGAGTGGGTGAGTGAGTATGGTTTTACACCGCCTTTAGCAATATTCCACGGCGGGGGACACCAGAGATGGGCTACCCATGTCGGGAATCGAACCCGGGTCTTCGGCGTGACGAGCGAACGCTTTAACCACTAGGCTACCCGACTGCCCCATTTGAAACATGACTGCAAGAGATAGAACGTTTTCGGAACCAAAACCTGACACCCTAAACACCCCCGAAACAGTGCACGTGCATAACTTGATACTTCAATGAAAGAACGCCTAACCCCTCTGGGCCATTCATATGATTAATTCTCATTATCCACAGTACCCCGCAAGATACCCCCTGCTGCTTTTATGACGTATTTGTGATTCAGATTGGGAATGCGGGATGAAAGCCTAAGGGCCTGCTGCAACTGTGAGAATATATCCAATATCTTAAATGTGTCTCAGTCCGTGATTTGCAGATCGATTAATTAGAAACCATGCTAAAAGAAATCGAGCCCCAACAGCCAATCAAATCGCTTTTCGGTAGAGGTGGGCCCCCGGAGTTGAAGTTACTGACCAAACAATTAGGTATCGTCTGCCTGCAACTAATGTAGAGATCGGCTTAGCTACATCTGGTTTTCACAAAGTTTTAAAAAAACCTACTTATCTAAAACAGTTAGTCCATGAATATTAAATGACATTAATCTACAGTGTTGGGGAAGTGCAAGAGATGAGTCTTCAAAAGGCACAATGTATAGTATCATAAAAAAAATGGTCGCCTAAATTATAAATTTTACTAAGCAGGAAATCGTTTGGCGAGTATTACCTAAGTTTAAAACTTGTAACCATAATCTGCCTATTGAAACTGGGAGATGGAGAAAAAAATAACTTTAACCGAAAGAAAATGTCCACTTTGTTAACTATCTGACATTGGTGATGAAT